GGAGCTGTTAATGGTGGAGATGCTGTGGCTGAGAAGAAGAGAAAGAAGAAGAGGAATAGAAAAAGAAAAGGTGATGTAGGCAATGAAGCCGAGCAGATTCCAGCTGCAAAGAAAGCCAAGGGGGATGTCAAGCAGGAGACCCAGCAGAAGCAGGGCAAAGCCAAGAAGAAAAGGAAAGAGAAAAAATCTGCCGTGCTGCAGGAGTAAACTTCAGGGACTCACCCTGGTCTGGCATGGCTAATGTGACTCAGAGGACTGTTTTAATATCTTTTATAACTATATTTTTATGCCCTCCTTGAATTGAAATAAACCTTCCGTGATGCCAAGCTCTGAAGCTGCAGGTCTGACTTGTGTAGAAGGTTCAGTTGCAGCACAGGGATCCATGTCCCCTCTGGCTCTGGCAGTGCCAAACATCCCAAGCTCAGGAGCGCAGACTCCATTTTTCTGTGATAACCCCGAGGCAGAAGAGGCTTGCCTGGATTCCTTGGAGATGTGGTAGGGGTGCTGACACTGCAGAGTTGTGTGCTTGAGCCCTGCGGGAGGCTCCCCTGAAGGGCTATTTCTGTCCTTAGGCCCTGCAGTACTTGCAGCTTTTCCAGTCTGGAAGATGCTGTCTGTTTTAAATGCCTGAGGGTTAAATGGGCTTGTACTTGCATATTCTGAGGTTAAATATATCCAATCTGAGCCACTCGGATGTCATCAGTAACTAGCATGGTGTTGCTTTTTTGCTTTCCCCTGCACAGCCCTCAGCTGCTGGGTGCAAGAGGGGGGATGTCCCTGGTGACAGCACAGGGATGTCAATAAAGCAGTGAAAACAATTGCAGTGGCTAATTGATTTGTTAGACTGCCAGGCCAGCAGATTGTGCAGCCTCATCCCTCCTTTCCTCTCCCTGACCTGCTGACCACCGCTCTCTTAGAGGCTGGACCTGCAGGGCTGAGGCAGAGGGCCCAGCAGCAGAGCTGTTTCTGCAGTGCCTTTGGCTTTCTTCCTGCAGGTGGGTCTGTTCTACGCTGCATGGGTTATGGGCAGAGGAAATGTCATGTTGCTTTTGGAGGGAGGGAAGGGCTGTGTTTGCCCACGGCTGTTTATCTGCCTTTGCAGTGTCTTCTCTCAATGGCATCAGACTCCCCTGGAGGTGGCTGCTGGCAGCAATGCGATCCCATTCAGTTGCAGTGCCCTGGGAAGGCACAGTGCTCCTCTCACAGCAGCAATCGTGTGAGGTCTGCTGTGCATCCCAAGGAGTGAGCTGGCTTCTGGCAGCAGCAGGTAAGGGCTGGAGCTGCAGTGCCTGCCTGCTGGCAGGGCTCAGCAATGTCCTTTCTTTCCCTGTGTTTCAGTTCTGCCCTCACACCTCTTCCTGTGGAGGTAGCAGTGAGCAGCACTTTGTCTCTGGAAGGCACAGCCCGTGTCTGCCCCGGATGCAGAGAGAGGTGGACTGGAGCCGGGCTCTTCAAGCCTAACAGCATTTGGGCAGAGGCACAGACTGGAGGCTCAGGCTGCAGGTTGGCAGCTGTGATGATGCAGAACTTCAGCACCAATGTTTGCATTTCTATGCAGTTCTCCCACATCTGCAGTTTCCCCACCAGCCAGTTCTGAGCAAATTAGGGTTGGGATCATCTTGGCAGAGCTTTTCTCCCATTAATCTGGAGGTTACTGTGGGGTCTTGCTGCTGCTGCAGCCTGCAAAACTGCTGCCAGTTGTTGCCAGCTGGAATGTGGCAAGCTGCTGTAGTGCCTTGTTAGAACCTCAGTCTCAGCTTAGCACCAGGATGTTGATGTGCCTCCTGATGGCCTGTGTGATGACTTTTCAAATATTATGCAAATGCAGCATATAAGAGGCCAGCAGGTCATGCGCCTTTAATGATTTGGAGATGCTCGGAAGGGGAGCAAGAGTTTCAAAATGCATCTTCACTGATGATTTCTTTCCCTATTTCTCTAAGTAGAACATCCTGGGTCTTTGCAGCTCTGCAGAACTAGAGGAGAAGCAGCGTGCAGGTGTGGTGAATGGGAAGCAAGTTGAGCACACAGGTACCTGGGTGTGGTGGGAGGACAGCTCTGGAGCCCACTGGGCTGACTCTTAGGATGTGCAGCAGCTTGATCATGCAGTAGAAGCTGAGCCTGGAGCTCTACATCAGCAGGGCCACCTGGAACAGTGCTGGGCTGTGCTGCACTGGGCTCCAGTTTTGGAAGAAGTGGGAAGGACAGCATGAGATGGAAGCTGTGCTGGCTCTTGTTTCTGACAGGTTGATTTTGTCTTCTTCCTCGCTCACTCTGTTCACCTCTATGTTCAGCTCCCAGCCTTTGCACAGCAATCCAGGGGGAAAAGGGACAGGAAAGCTGTGAGGCATTGTGTGAGTTGTGGTTTGGTAACAATTGTACCACCAATTAAATTACCTGATTTTAGTCTGGTTTTGATGCACTGTTTATAGAATGCAGTCTCTAATCCACTGGTACTTATATCTGTCTTAAAGTTGCAAATGCTTTATTTTGCTTGATTTCATGTCCTGTTTGCTGCTGGACCTTTAGGGCTGTCAGGTGATAGGCTTTGATTTTAAGAAAGTCTTTCCAGCCATACTGGGCTTGGAAGATCTTTGGCAGGAGGAGAGCTGAAGGGTTCTTCCAAATGCAAGAAAACAGCTGCAATCCCCAAAACTCAAGGAGCTCTCCTGACTGTTGTCCCAGGCAGGTGGAGCTGGGAGGAGCAGGGCTGTGTGAGGCTGTTTTAGTTGGCGTCCTCGTTGTTCAGTGCCTGCTATCCACAGGTGGTGTGAATGTGCACCTGTATGTCTGTGCTCCAAGAAGAAGTAACCAGTATTGGGCAGTTAGCTGTTGTTGGCTGATGGATGCTAAGGCTGCTGAGCTTCTGATCTTAGCTGTTGGAACATCAACATTTATAGAATCTCGCTTAAGTCCTTTGCACAGTACAATTGAGCTGAAAGCCTCAATGGTCTCTGCCAAAAAGTGATCAGAGTTAATTTTTTAGGCAGACAAATCCTTTGCTAGCAGGAGGGCCTCCTAGCCTGGCACGTGCACTGTGCTGAAGGGAATGAGTGCAGAAGGGAGATGCTGCAGAGAACTGTAGGAGATGGAGGACTCTTCCAAAGCTGCTGAGAGGAGACACTTGGTTGCAGACATGCCTTGTTTGTGCTGCCAGTGCAGACCGGGGCAGGAGGGCAGGTTGTGCTGCAGCAGAGTGCTGCTAAAGCAGCAGAACCAAGCGACCATCGGCCCAGGGAGTTGGCAGTGGCTGATGCAGGATCGCTGAGGAATGGCGGTCTTGTTGCTTTGGGAATAATTTCCTGCCCTCCTTCCTACACGTCTTCCCAAATCTGCAGCTCCCAGCACGTTAGCCCTGTGTCAGTCAGAGCAGCCAGGGCTTTCACTTCTCACACGTTGCTGTGCAGTGAGGGCCTGGAGGAGGATGGAGCACGGTTCTGTCTCTGCCCACCACTCACTCCTTGTCAGCTGTGCCCCTGGGTTAGATCTAGGCAGCCAGCTTAGGGGGGCTGACATCCACCAGCCCTTGTCTCCCTGTTCCCTGCTTGTGGTGTGGCTTTTAAACCAGCTCCAGGCAGGCAGTTGCTCAGGTGTGTTCTCTGCGACCCATGTCAGAGTGCTTCTGGCAGGAGGTGGGGGCAACCTCATCCTAGGGACCAGCCCTACAGGCAGCAACCACAGGAGTGTGCAATCAGATCAAGTGGTGATACAGGAGAGGCAGACAGGAGGTATGTTTTAAATACTTTTATTTCTTAATTTACATAAAGGTATAGATTTGGCTTATTTCTCTTCTTTTATACTCTGAGATTCACAATCAATTGCTCTTAAAAAATAAAATAGTCATTTGCTTCTGAAAGAAATCAGAAAACTATTTTATACTCCTCCTTGTATAACAAGAAAATATACTCCCATACATCACGTAGTAAAGGTGATAGTAAGCGCTGGTTTACCAAACAATAAAGCAAACAGAGAAGACAACAGTTAGGGCAGAAGGTGCAGAGAACTCTGCTTTCCAGAGTACATCCATTCCTTTCATAGGATTCTGTCACCTGAGGTTCTCTCTTAGCCAGTTCTGTAAAAGGTGAGAGGCTGTTGGTTCCCCCATTCAGATTCTAGCTCCAAGTGACAGCAGCAGGAGGCAGTGTGGTTACTGGGCTTGGCAGCTTGCTGCTTTTCGGGTGATTTTCTTGCCTCTCTGTGCAGTTCCCATTACTTCTTCCTCTTGCTGTGTACAAACAGTCTAGTTGTTTCATAGCAAGTACATTGGTGCAAATGCAGTACTGGCTGCAGAGGGAGTTAATGCTTGCTTAAAAACAAAACCACACACCGTGCATGAAGTAAAGCAGAAGAAAGCTGTCATGATTCAAAAGGGCATCCTGGACCATCCCCTCTGGACAACCTATACCTGTGGGGTCAGGCACAGACCCTGATGCATGCAGCAAGGCTGCACCTAATACTCCAGGTCCCAGAGAGTGCAGGGAGGTCAGAAGGAGCCTTACTGCAAATCATCAGAGATGGGAGACCCTCAAGCAGAGAAGTGGGGAACAGGAGCAGCACTGGGGAAGGACCAGACAGAGCCCCAAGGAGTGGGGTGAGATGAAGCAGCACCAGCTGAAAACCTGTCTGCCTTTCCCCTCTCTTGGCTTTTCTTCTGAGGAGATGTATGTGTGCTGGAATGGGAGGACATGAGTAGTAGTGCTTGCTCCCTTTTGGTGGTGTTTTCCCATGTTTTCAAATGCATTCAAGAGCTGCTTTTATGCACACTAATTTTCAGACATTCATATTAAGTCATTTTGTGTGCAGGAGATCAGGGGCTTTAAAAATATTTGTGTTCTAATTGGAACTGTTTAATCTTATGTTGAAGTTTTGAGTCTGAAACACAACATTGATGATCTAAGCAACTTGAGGTGATAGACTGGAATCTTGCTTCATTGGTTGTGGTGTGTACTAAAAGATACGTATATAAAATCAATTACCTTTTCAAATTAACAGCCTTTCTTTAAAAAAAAACAAATACTAATTTTAATAAGAGCTGCTCTTCAGCTTTGATATAAGCAATGTCTTCAGTCTAAGTTCTCCTCCAGTTGCATACTGGCAGAAATGGGCCAACATCTTGGGATGGGGAATACTACGTTAGAACCCAAGGAGGGGACATGGATGGCGACACAGGTCCAGTTTCTGTTTGATGACATGGATAGTTCATGCCCAGATTCAATGTACCTCTTCTTGTTGACTTAATCCTGCCGACCCTTGATCTAAGTGAGCTGGTTTCACTCCAATAGACCAAATACTTTTATAGGAGCTCTGACTGAACAATTCTTCCAGTTAGGAATACAAACAAGACACACTCAACAAGAAATCCAACCTTTCTGCTTTCAGCCATTAAAACATAGATCACAACATGTAAAGGGGCAGCAGGATTCCTGTCCCTTCTCCTGTTCATCCTCATGAGCTATTCTGGTTGCTGCTTGGGCTTCTCTTGGTTAGCCTGGAACATGTGGGAGGGATTCAGGGATCCCTTGGCATGGGACTGCTACAAGTAGGACTTGCTTCTTACTCCCTTGCTTGCTCACATCCCTTTTTCCTTGTTAAAAAAGCATCCACAGCAATTTCCTTCATATACACAGAAGATAAAGCTGGCCTCCTGTAACAGTACTGTGCTTCTCCAGCAAGGATTGGGTTTGGCACAAACAAGAAGAGATGGCAAAACTATAAAACACTTTGTTCCCTTTTCATTGTTGCCTTCAGAGAATTAAGTTTAAGGACAATTCTCGACCTCTGAACTTGAGCAGGAATGCTTCATGTTGTTGACAGTAAATGCTAAAACAGAGAGAGCCTACCAGAAAAGCAGCTCAGGAAATACAGCTAATCTTCTTTGGTATCTGAAATGAAATGACTAATTGTTTCTTTTTAACCATCTTAACAAGGAATTTCTTAATGGGAATCAGAAATTCATGTGCCTTTAAAGCCAAGTATTTGGCTTCTACAGTGTTGGTATTTCCCCTGCAAATGTAAATAGGGGCATAAGGTGGGAAACAAAAAATTGCTTTGGATTTGCTTTTTGTTATTTTTTCTAACATCCACTTGCTGTTTCCCAGAGGATGCCCAGGCACTCAAGGAAAATTTCTGGCTTAGTTGTTCAGCCAACTCTAGAGCCATTGTTTCACCATTTTACATAACAGATGAAGAGGAAATGCTCAGATTTTTATAGGAATCACCCTCATAACACTGGCAGTGTAGGAATAGTGACTAGTTTGGTGGAGTTAGCAACCATCTCTACTACAATGCTTTGCTGTAGATTGCAGAACATCCTGGAAGTGAACTGGAGATAAAACCCAGATTTACTACCTATACCCTTCTTATGTCTGAACAAAGCTACAGCACAACAGAACAGCCAACTTGGAGATGTAACTCACATCCAGTCCCAGTTTTCCATTTCCTTTGGTGATTTAGTCATACTTGCAGCTTAATCACAGTTGCTTACTGTACATGAACACAAGAGTGAGGTACACCCAAAGTATCTGGGTGCCTAACCTGGAAGGTCTGGAAAGTCTGACCTCTGGGAGACATGTGAACAGAAAAAGGGAGTGAGAAGTTCACTGAACAAAAGCGCTTTTTCTCTGGAAGCCTGACTCTCTCCAGGGCCTGTGTTCTCCGTGCTCTCCTTCCTTCCTGTCACTCTTGCAGCATTAAGCTGGCGCAGCATAAATTTGGCTTGTGGAGGTCAAGTGCATGAAACAAGACCCTGTGAAATGATTCTCTGGCTGCTTTACAGCCACACTCTTCTGCATTTGAAACTCTTCTACAGAGTTCAGACACTGGCCTTGTGTCTTGGAGATAAATGATTAAGAGGCACCCCACTAAGAGTAGTCTAGGAGAGTGTGTGGAGATGGACATGCATGACCTAACCATTGCTCCAAAGGGAACAGCACTGTAGAGTATCAGCTGCCTGCTCAGAAAATACTGATGAGGGAGAATTAGCACTGACAATACACGTAACATGATATGCATGTAAACAAAGCATGATGTTACTGGCACAGCAGTATTGCACTACCAGGCCATTGGTAAAGCAATTCAGCCAGATGGATTTTGGTATTTTATAAACCTGTGAACCTCCTAGGCAAGGCTGAATGTAGTATACTGAGCAAAATCTGGAGCCCCTAGTATTTCTGTCCAAAGTTTGGGGCCTTTCTGTAACAACCACCAGCACACCCAGTGCAATGCAACTCTCTCCTCTGTCCTGTTGCTCAGCCTCAGGTGACAGGTTCCATCCACCATGGGAACTCTTCCTGTGGTGTCCTTCTAGGACCTGATACCAGGGCACTGAGATGAGGAGAGTTGTGGACGTATTCATGTCTGGTATGGTTACACAGGCAGCTCCAGATTTCAAATGTTTAAATAAAAACTGTTCATCTAAATATATATATATATATATATATCTGTCATCTAATGTCTTTAGCAGATAAAGCATCTTAGGACATATTTAAATAAAAAATAATAATCTAAATTGAGCCTTCAGTGTTAAAGAAAAAGTGATGTACAGAATAGGTCCCCAACTAGTGCAGTCTCTGGGTGTGGGAGTGCTGGCAGAACAGCAGCATTCAATAGGACAGAAGTCCTGTAACAATGTGGACTTCATTGGCTACAACTAAAACCATTTACACAATCTACAGTCACTCACTTGGGTCCAGTGGAGAGTTGCTTTAGATGCTCAGAGGAACCTGTAATGTCCTTATGCTCAAGAAGCACTGTGTTCCAGGCTGCCCTGCTCATCTCCTGGTGCCTGACCCTGCAGGCTGGAGTGGCGTGGTGGAGTTGGTGCTGCTATGTAGCCCTTCCAGGGTGGCGTGGAGCTGAGGGAGCCACTGTTTTCCAGTGTGGAAGGGCTTTGAGCTTGAGACTGTTGCTGGAAGCAGGAGTCCACACGTGGTTTCCTTCACCTTCAACTACAAGTGAGGAGAAAGGTGGTTAATGTCCTAATAACGAGAGCTGATTGGTGATAGTGAATGCATGCACCCCACCTTCATGGTGGCATGAAGTCTAAGAGTCTTGCCTCCGCGCAACTGGAAGTCTAGCACAGCTGGATTGGTATGGAGACTGGATGAACATAGTTCTCTGGGTTTTGTGAATGAGAAACACAAAGATGCTGAGATTCAGGCAAAATCTGCCCCAGATCTGGACTCCTATCTGTAGTATTTAAGGCAGCAGCCAAGTCTTGTTTGCATCAGTTGTTTAGGTACAACTCCTTGTGCTATGGATTCAAACAGCTCAGATGACAACAGGGGCTGACTTTTGCTAGGCTGCTTTTAACCCCATCAGTTCATCAAAGAACTGAGAGACTGCCTCTCACCTTAAGTTTTCTTTTCCAAAACTGCTGTTTTTTGGAGAGCCCAGTTCAGGGGTGGGGGTCAGCCCAGCACACACGTGTGATAGCTCTGCTATTGGTCTTGCTGCTGACAGAGCAGTGCAGTCAAAGGCTTCCTCCCAGTGTGCTGCTGGTATATGCTTGCTTTAAAGAGCAACATCAGCACGTTCATTGGCTGGTGAGACAGCACTTGTGCTTGCTGTGGACTATTTAAGCAGCCTGCAGTTTCCTACATTATATAGAAAGGATAACCAGTTCTCTCACTGCAGGATTTCCTGTGAGAGGTTCTTTGCTCCATGTTAGGCAGGAATTGCCCCTGACCTTAAAAATTAGTGACTGGGTTATGGAAAAATTCCCTATGAGGATGGCCTGGTTTCTCTCAGATGGTAGAAAATAGGACCAAAAGAGGGAAAAAAAAGTACAGTGAAAAACTTCAGTGTGCACAAGAAGCAGGAGTTCGGTTTTATAAGGTGAGTCTCAGCAGCACCATGTAATATTTACTCTCCAATTTTTTGAGGCTTCTGGATTTTTTAAAACTTTGTATAAAAGCTGCTGAAAAATGATAATGTGTGAGAACACATCCAGCCAAGAGAGGGCAAGGCACAGGCGAGTCTATTATATCCTCAGCCAAAACATACTCCCCTATGTGGAAACAGTACATCTGCTATACTAGAGATTGCAATTAATCATGTCCCCAGAATGCCATTCTTAAGTGTATTACTAAGCTCTGATTTTATGATTAGTCTTTCAATGCATTTAATTTATAAAAAAGAAATCTTTTCAAAAACTTGCTTCAATTAATTTTGGCTACAGTAAATCGCTGGGAAGCGTTTATCAATTGTTGCAGCTCTGAGCTGCAATGCTGTGACTGTTGGAAAGTGATAAGAATAGCATGAACAAAAGGGAGAAGAAAGGGCAGTGGAAGTGGGATTCCTCTGGCTTACAACCATAGCCTTAGGGTTGCAGGGGGGACAGCCCTTGCAACAACACACAAGTTCTTGTGCTCCAGAAAGCATTTCTCAACAGAGAATTTTGGATTTGGAATGTGCTAGGCATGGTCATGTGGTAGTGAGCAAATTTTAGGCCAAGAGAAAGCAGCAGGAGGTTTTATGAGTGCAAGACACATTCAGAAAAAGCCTAAATTCTGGCTTTGGACAACCACATCTGGTGCTCCTCAGGGTGACTGGGATTGCATGTCCTTAAATGCTTAAAAAAGAAAGCACCAGGTTTCTGGAAATCACTCAGTGCAACAAAGGGCACTTGAGTTGACCCCTGGTTTTCCTGTTCTTGATTTGCTCTGATTTGGTATCAAAGGTACAGATCATAGCTGTGTCAGATTAACCTCTTTCCAGCTGATACAAAAAGAAATAAGTTGATGATTAACTTCAAACCAGTTGCTGGTTTGGGTCACTCACCATCTCAGACTTTCACAGAGGCTGGTGGCATCACAAGTTGGTTCACCCTATAGGAGAGAAAACAAGAGTGACATGAGAGAGCTGCACTTAGCTAAGAAATAGACTTCTTAACAACATACCAGCCTGTTAAATCCAGGTGCCTGTTTCGTAAGAGTTTCTAAAGAGACAGGATGTTAATAACTGTCCTGTACTATTGCATAAAGCTGAAAGCCTTTCACAGTGGCGACTGATAGCAGTTCTGACAACTGTTGGAACATGCCAAGTAATATTGCAACACTAATGGACAAGGATTTGGGAAGGCCCCAAAGGCATTCAAACATAGCAACCGTTTCCCTAAGCCAGTAACAAGACCGTGTACACAATGGCTTTTGAACGGTGTCCTTCAGACTTGACAGCATAAATGTAAACAGCCACCACTGATAAAAGTGAAATTAAGAAGAAAGCCCTGACAGAATCTCTGCCAGAGGTCCAACCAGGTAAGAACATCATGGTGAAACACCACTTTCCTTTGGAAGATGCTGATTCATTAAAACTCATCATTGCCTCCTCACCAAACTTCGTACCTGACCCAAGGTACTGCTGAAAAGGGATGGGGCTGTGTTAAGACGTGCTTCAAGATGAAAATAAAACAGTGGTTAAGGGCCACCTTCCAAGAAATCTCTGCAGCCTAGATGCAAGATCCAACATTCTGTGCATTTCTCCAAGGTCTCTTGTCTTTTTGCATTTCAAAGCTATAAACTGAAGTACAGTTTATGCAGGATGCTGGCCCACATTTCTTTGTAGGATTATTCTTGGTAACTCTACTGCAGTGGGCATTTTAACCATGCTTTAATTTTCAGAATATATCACAGAGCTAAAATATGACCTGGTAAAGCAATTACTTTAGAAGTAGGATGTAAACTATGATATTTTTGAAGCCAGCAGAAAACACTAAAACAGATGTTTGAATGCTGTAAAGCGTTGAAAGTAACGTCCAAGATTCAGAGTACGTACAGAAAACGTTTTGACACAACTTAGACAACCCACTGGTACTGCTGAGAGGTGAACTGTAAACATACCTAAGACTTTGCTTCTTGTGTTACTTATGGTTCAGCTTCCCATGGAATGAAACCCACCTCCCACAGAAGCACTTCTGTTATCCCCAAGTCTCAAAAATTGCTAGTCGTTTGCATTTTAACAGGTATCTCTCAGTTTTGCTTTATCTCTCCTTTACAGATGGGAGCAGAGGCCTAGAGGGGCTAATTCTGAAATGCATTTAGAAGATTTCACAGGAAATCAGAGCCCACAAGACTTTTGAGAACCTGCTGGGGACAGAGTTGCCTTTCAGGAATCGCATAGGATGTGGGCAGAACTGAGAACTGAAATAGTCTCCAAAATCTCACACAGGGCAGTTTTCATTCTTTCTGAATCACTGTAGTGCAGACAGTGGTCACTGACTTACAGCCTGATTTCAATGAAGCTCAGCTTCTCAGCTTACAATGGCAGCTGGTCAGCTCTGCATTTATTTATTTTTTTAAAGCAAAAATGCTAATAATAAATTTCAGATTCTCTTAGGTGATACAATGTCTTCCATGGACTTAAGAAAACAAGACTAAAGAGGATGTAAATCCTCATTTATGGCCCACTTGTCTTTCTAATGATGATAACCCCACACTGACCAGGTTGGTGCTTCCAATCTGGGGGTATCTGCTGACTAAACTTGACTTCCTAAGTTGTTCTACTTTCTCCACATTGTTTTCTCAAGATGGTGAATGTTTTCATTCCTTGAAGACAGTGGGGTGGGAACCACTCTGTTATTTCCTGAGGGGGAGGAAACTGACCCAAATTGCCTTTCAAGAACAGAAGCTGCACAACTTTTTTTTTTTCCTTTTTTTTTCCCCTCGTGCTTCTCTAGTAGTTAAAATGAGACTGACTCCTTCTAACCCCGTCATTTCCTCCCCTGTCAAACCCAAATAGTTCTCCTAGATCCTATCAAGCTATTTCCATGTAATGTGACAGCATCTATAATTCTCAAGCATTTATATGACTGTCTGTTTAATATTAAACTACATGCTCTAAAGCTGTTAAATATTTATGCTGCGTAAAATGCATCTAATTTCCCAGCACCTCAGCCAGTGACAGAACTGCATAAGAAAAAGATGACAAATTTAAGATAACAGATGAGTGGCCAAGTCCTTTACAGGTCAGCTATACCCTAGTCTCAGTTTCAAGAACTGCAGAGATGATTTTCCAAATTCTCTTTCCCTTTCACTGCAGCTGCTCACCCACCCCACCAACACTGCAGATTAGAGTTTGCAATACAGACTGTAATTGCAGGTTGTAGTAACAGTGTACACCTCTACCTCTGTAACAGCTCCCAGCTCAGCAGAATGAGGCTTCGATGCCCACATCACATCCACGTGTGCTCACCCCGTGTCAGCAAGAATAAAAGCATTTCCCTTTTCATCTTTATTTCTATCTATACACAACCTAAACAACACTCATATGCTGGTATCCTACAGATTGCCATGCAACCCATTTTCTTGCTATCTAAACAAGTCAGGCTTTGGCTTCTGTAATGGAGAAGCATATTAGGAAACGGTGTCCTAATTTTTACAGCCCGCTGTACTTAACATCACTTAATTTTTACAAGCAACAGTAAAATGCTTCAATGAGGTCCTTCTAGCCTGCAAATAGCTCATTATTTGACTAACAAGAGCTCATTCAGTAGACAAGAGTTTAGGGCTACAGGGGCAGCTAGATCGACAGTGGCCTCAGCAGAAGGGAGGGTAAGTAAATCCCCGCTGAAGCCAGTTGCCAAAACACATTAATATTTTAGTAAACAAAGAAGGGAAATGGACACAAATTTACAGACCATTCCACCCATATTTTCCACTATTGTCTGCATGTCAACACCCTCACAAACCCAACTTGCAGTTTGGCCTGCCAGCAAACAAACAGGTAAGTAACAAGACCAGGAAACACCTCGTTAAAAACACACATAACCACTGGTCATATGCGATCACATATGCAGGTCACATTATTCATACTCTGCACAGACACTGCTGCCTTGTCTCACCAATATTCCGCCACGCAGGAATTTAGAGCTGCATTTCCCTGGGAAATGCCACACCTCCCTGCAGGTCTTTGAGTCAGTGAAATTCCATTGGAAGCACCAAGCACGCACAGAGCCAACAGAGCTGCACATGTCCTCGTGCAAAGATTTCTGACCCTGAAAACAAATCAAAGAAGACCATAGATAATCTGCTAATTTTGCTTACTGCTGAAACCAAAGCTAACTGCAGAGTGCTCATTCTGCTTGGCTCTGTACCACATTTGCTGGGTAACCAAATGGTCCCAACGATGCACTGCCTTATTGCCAGACAGGTTACCAAGAGCAAAATCAGCAGGGTGGAGACTAGTTCAATTATGTACCCTTTAAACCCTTCACTGCATGTTTTTAAATCAAGCAGTGCAGGATATAAATGTGCAAACCATTGCTGTCCCCCAGTAACAAAGGATGGCTGCAGTTTTCACCAGCAATTAGAAGGAGCTGGGCTTCCCTACTCTACAACGGAGAGTAAGAACAGCTAAATCAAGGATTGCTTCCAATCAGGATGACCTGTTTTGACTGCTCTCAAGCTATTTTGATATTTAAGTCAGTAATTTTGGGCTAAGATACCCAAATTAATAACATACTCAGTGCTTTGATTTAAAAGGCTCCTGGTATGCTGTGTCTGGAAACAATGACAGAGTGAAGATGCATGAAAGGTGAGCAATAATAATACGTCAAGATAGAAAGAGCCCAGTGAGTGGTACAGGGACAGGAGTGGCACAGCTTAAAACAGTCTGTGCACTGAGCTTCCTGATGCATCATGACAGGATCGTGCAGCCTTCCAGGAAAAGGGTCTGTTGAATGAAGCTCAGGTCAGTTTGTTACAATTTTGTAATGCTATGCTTAGTGTTCTTCAGCAAAGAAGCAAATGTAGGAATAGCTTACATTGGAGTAGAAAAGCATTGTTTTATTGAGCTCTGCTGGCTGCTTCACTCATTTACAGCCAGAGAGGATGCTTGGGGCCTTTGTAAATCCGAAGCCCTCCAACCCAGGCTCAGAGCTGAAAACCTGGCTGCATGCAGCCCTGCTGGCAGCCCCTGGCACGGAGCTGCCCTTCCCCCTGGAGCCAGAAGAGGTGGCTCAGTCTGTGCTGAGCAGCAGCTCTCATGGGGACGGCCTGACAGGAGCTGCATGCTGCTGGTGACAGGTGCTCTTTCAGCTGCACTAAAGAAATGAGTTGGCTTAAATCCCCTTTTTTCCTGCACATCAGTGGGTTTACTGAACAGAATACAATGATTGTGTACAGCAAATACATTTTTTCTCTCTGTTTGGTACAGCCTCTCAAAGCTGCCCAGACTCAGTTACTATTTTCCATCTGTTCACTTAATCCAGGTGCTGACTATATGTTTGCCCCCAGAGGAAGAAGCATAGGTCAGCTTCTATTTACCCTCTTTCGCAGATCTTACAAGAGGAGAACACTGCCATAAAGAAAGAAACTAATAACCTTTCCTTCTATTTTCCAGGCAGCTGCAACAGAATGCATCTGAATACAAGCAGTGAATAGCACTCAGTAGGTACCAAGAACTTGGATGGAAATGAAGTCTGCCTTACTGCTCTGCAGTGGTATGCTAATGTGGACTCCTAAAGCTACTGAAGATGCAGGTCTCTGAGGCCCTCAGAGCACTGGGCTTGAATCTGTCCCTGTATATGTAATTCTGCTGGATAACGATGGGCTCAGAGGTAAGATGATCAGTTTTCTACAGCCATGGAAGATGTGGATAACATCATACTCTCGTGTGCACTGAAATAATGGAGGAAAGAGAAAGCAGAGAGTCTTGATCTCTTCTTGGCATGATCGAACAGGAAAGGGTATAACATGACAAACAAAAGCAGGTATGATGTAATTGAATCCGTAAAAAAATCCGTACAACTTCCTGATGCCAACAAATTAGAAACATATTTCTTACCCTCCAGAATAACTACCTCATAATACAGCTCTTTTCAGCAATCTAA